TCACTAAATAGCGCTAGATACCTGCAGGTCGTAGCCTAGTTGCAACTATTCCGTCACACGGTCCAAATAATCTCATGAATTTAATGTAAAACTTTAAACTGTCTTATATACGACAATATAATAATATCACATTTTATTTTGGATTTGACGAAGTCTAAAACCAATGCTTTTATCGTTATAAATGTTATAGGGAGTTTGAATATTATCTGTGGAAGTTAGCTCTAACTACCCGCCTCCATTTTACTTCTTTTCAAAGTAACAAAGCACGATGACATTCATGAATATAACCACTTACTGAATTGTTTTGTAGTAAAAGTGAAGCAAATTAAGTTCTAGAATTTGATATAATGCTAAATAATACTTTCTTAGATTTACGCGAATATTTGACATTTTAAATAAAACTATATTTTCGGATTTTTTCGCAGATTCATTTTGATTTTTCGTCCGGAACGTTTCGAACGTCGAGAACTTAAAATCCGAAAAAAATACTTTTATTTGCAATTGTTATAAATATGTCAATGTTATCCTGTTCAGAATTTTGTGCAATAGCTATACGTGAGGTCAAGTATCATATTTTTAAACTCTTCTATTTTCTTTGCCAATTTATTTTGGCATCTTGGCTTCTGTATATTAATTACGAAATTTATTCTACCTAGGTATGCTATTTCCGATTGGGTTTTTATTGTTATTGAATTGTATTTTACGTACATGAATACCTTCAAACACATTCTTTTGCAATATTTAAAAAAAACGTGTTGAGACGAAAATAGTAGGTATGTGTAAAAACTATTATTTTTGTCAGATTGTTTTCAGAACGGGTGGTAGCTTCATTGTGAGGAAATATGGATTTAATTACTTTAAAATGTCTGTTATTCAAATAAAGTACATTTTGAGACTTCATTTTTGGATGAAATTTAATCATCAAAATATCAAAGTATCAAAAATCAAAATCTTTAAATCGAAGTACATGCAATAAATATATATGTGTATACACTTGCAACATCCGTAGTATATTACTATATATAGGTACAAATAGGAACTCAATCTATTATAATCTAAAGTCTAGACTGTTGAGTGCGATCTAATTTAATCAAGTATTATAAATAAAACAATATGTTTACCCTCAACTTTTGCCGATTTGCTTACATATGTATATTAATTTAGTTCACATACAAATACGACGGGTATAAAAGGGTTAGTAGAACAGAGAGCCCATGCATTTGATTTAGATGTACAATTTTATTAAAATTCTGGTATATATTATGTATTAAGGTTGTAGCCCAGTGGTAACGCGCTCGCTGGGGATACCGAGTGAAGCGAGTTCAAATCCCGGGTCTTGCACCTTTGAAATTTTCATGTGCGTTTTCATTGCGAATCATTTTTCGACATGATTACCACTTGTCTTACTGTGAAGAAAAATATTGCGAGAAAAACTGCATGCCTGAGAGAAATAGCAAGTTTTCGAAAGACATGTGAAGTCCGTCAACCCGCACTTAGCCCGCGTGTGACTTAGTGGACTTTGGCCTGATCCCCCTCGTACTGAAGGGAGACTCGTGCCCAGCAATGAGACGTTAAAAAGGTGTTAATACATGAATACATTATATATGATTTAAAGTGCTATGTATTATTTATATATAAATTATAAATTATTAAATTCGGATAAACCTTAATTATGCATATATTACAGTACATTATTGTACATGTAATATTATAAAGAGGTAAAGTTGGTGAGTTTGTGACGTTGTAGGGAGCAATCTCTGGATCTACTGAACCGATTTAGATGAAATTTGGAAAGTTTTTTTAGTTATGAACGTAAAAGTAGTTATAAACTTTTTATCCCGGAAATCATCCCTTAATGGTGTGAAAATGGGGATGAAAGTTTGTGTGGTGTGTAATGGCGAATCAACCTAGGGACGAACCCGAGAGAAGCGAGGGTGAGACGCTAGTGTAATATAAACATAATTGAATCTGTAAGGAATAGCTTTCCAAAACTTAACTTTTTTCGTCCATAAAAAGTAATAAAATTATTACCAATTTTACTATAAGTACATATTAAGATATATAATAAAAAGTACATGGTACATAGAAGTAAAAAAAAAAGTAAGCATGAATAAAATACAATTAATGTATACTAGTCTATACTAATATTACAAAGAAGAAAAGTTTTTGAGATTGTGAGTTTGTGATGTTACAGGGGGTAATCTCTGGATCGACTGAACCGATTTAAATGAAATTTTGTAAGAAGATAGTTTGAGATCCTGGAAAGGACATAGGATACTTTTTATCCCAGAAATCATTCTTAAAAGGAGTGAAAATGGGGATGAAAGTTTGAATGGGGAATCAAGCTAGGGACGAACCCGAGCGAAGCTAGGTTAGTCACTAGTGATATATAAGCATAAATTTTAATATGCTAACTATACTAATGCTAACATTTGTTTTAGAAAATTGTGCAAAGTCTATCCTCAACCTGAATAATAAATAATTTGCGATGTACAATTTTCTTGTTAACATATAGTGGTGTTCGTGACAGCGCATATCATGTCATTAATTTCGCTTGTGAGCGCCCTAAGGCATCAATGTATGGAAACAATCCAAACATCACGTTCCACCACTCGCCCTTGAACTTGTTAGCTTATGTAACAATGCAAATCATTTATTTAGAAATGTTTATATTTTTCTAGTATAAACTAGCGACTTCGCTCGGTTGCGTCCCTAGATACTTTTTTTTGTTGAGCGGAACCCTAATTCTTTTTCTAAGATAAAAGTAGCCTAAGTTACTCCTTATAATATCAGCTATTTGCCAGTGAAAATCCTTTCAAAATCAGTCTACCTGTTTCGGAGATTAGCCGGAACAAACAGACAGACAGACAAAGAGACAGACGGACAGACAAAAATTTTAAAAATTATGTTTTTCATATAAGTACCTTATATAATTTCATATGCATTTAGTAAAAAGCTGTTATTTTGACATTACAAACAGGTACATCGATTTTATTTTTTACAATATATTTGTAATAGGTATGCACGTATTAAAAGTTATACCTATATGTGTAGTGTATCAACTATCTGGTATCTATAACACAAGCCTCGTAGCTTACCATGGAACTAGATGGTGCTGTGTGCTTATTATTATTTACAACAGCTACAGTAATGGGTCTTACTTCGCAAGGTTTTCAACATTGCGTGGTCTAAAATATGTTTTTTTCTTTATGTTCTGTTGTATATATTTTATAGGAACAATTAGATAAGCTAAGAATAATGTTAGAATATTTAAAAAAAAAGATAGTAGTTTTAGAAATTATTCTCTGCATACATACAAAAAATATCTCACTATTTATAATAGTGTATGAGAAGTGTACTGTCGAGAACACAGTTTTTATAGAACTTCACAACGTAAGAATGATTACGTGATATGACATTGTGACATTTAATCTCCCTCTGCACAATTTGATGCACTGCGATGTACGTTCCGCTAGATTATAAATAAAAAAATTTATATTTTAAATCAAAGTAGGGCTATGTTGTCTTTCAATTTGTTGTCTATTTACAAAAGCGAGAGGTCATTCACTCACTGACAAAACACGAAATCTCTAAACCTTCTTGACCTTTGAAGCAGTTTGGTACGTGGTACTTGAGAAGCTGGAGACGTTAAATAAAAACGGATTTCGTGATAGGATTGAGTTAAGAGGATCTAAAGGCAATCGTTCGTTTATATTAAAGTCCTTGCTACTAGATACTTAAACATGACTTATTCTGGTTTCCCATAAATAGCTACGTTGGCGAAACCATGAGTGACGCTAACAGATTATACATAATCCATACTATATCATCTACTTATAAATGTGAAAGTAAATCTGTCTGTCTGTCTGTTACCTTTTCACGCTTAATCTGCTGAACTGATTTATATAAAATTTGGTATAGAGATAGTTTGAGACTCTGGGAAGGACATATGATAGTTTTTATCCCGGAAATCATCCTTTAAGGGGGTGAAAAGGGGGATGGAAGTTTGTATGGGGAATCAATGATTTCTCAAGTAAGGGATATAAAACTCATCATGTATCTATTCCATACTAAGCGTCAAAATTGTATCTAGGGATGAACTCGAGCGAAGCGCGGGTGAGTCGCTAGTAAGATTATAAGTGAGGAATTGTTATACATTCAATGATTTTTGGAAAAAATGTATTTTTCTAAAAGAAAATGATGTTTTAGTAATACACTAACACACATCCATAAAAATTACTCAATATACTTACATATGTATTAATTCAGTCTACACAGCGTTACAGTTGTAATATCGTCAACTTCTTCACTCTGGGCTGTAACTGAGATTTTTTTAATTAAAGCCCCTTAATAACTATACTTGGTCTCACTTGGGACTTAAACTGCAAACGGGCACGATAGCTACTTACCTACCAAAGATGCAGTCATTACTATGTATTATAATTATGTTAAGAATAAAGATTGAGTATTAAATAAGAGTTTAAGAACATATTAAAAGTACAACAATATTCTATACATTATTAAACATTAATTGCTTATTAGACTTAGATGGTACGATGGCAGTTGTACCGCTTTATTGAGATGAAGGCCGATTTGATTCCGTATAAAGTAAATTAGTGTACCAGTTTTAAGTAATACTCGCTCGAACTGGAAAAAAATAAAAAAAACATATTAAAATGTTCAATGATTAAAAATTTTCTTATTTTTAACCGACTTCCAAAAGAAGGAGAATATCAATTCGATTGGTATTTTTTTTATGTATGTACTCCGTTTTAGCTGATATTTTTTTGACGACACGTTTGGCTCAGTTTGTAGTGACCCTTCTTGCTGTGCCAGCGGTCGCGGGTTCGAGTCCCGCTGGGGGCATTCATTTGTGTGATGAGCACGAATGTTTGTACTAACCCGTGTCCAGATAAGTGGCTATTATACTAAGAAATTTAATTAATTTCTTAAAATTTAACTGGAGGTGTTAAAATTTAATTGAAAACATTTTTTTTCAGAGGCTCACAAATGAATCTGTGCAATGGCGGCACAGGTGCAATAACAGGGCTCGTACCTAAGATCCCCAATGGCTATGGGGACCAAAAGAAACCTATGGCATCACTCACTCATTTACCGAAACGTCCTCCAGTCGACATAGAATTCTCGAACCTCTCCTACTCAGTCAGTGAAGGCAGGAAGAGAGGGTACAAAGCATTGCTCAAATGTATCAATGGGACGTTTCGATCAAGCGAACTGACAGCTATCATGGGCCCCTCCGGCGCTGGGAAAAGTACTTTGATGAATATCTTGGCGGGCTATAAGTAAGTTTTACGATTGTTATTAATTTTCAAATATGTGCTTTTATTAAATTATATATAGAGGAATTGTGAGAGGAATACTACAGAGCATTAAAATATGGATGTTAGTCTGAATAACATTTAGTACAGCGTATCTCCTTTCAATACACAAAAAAGTTAGAAAAAGTCATGGCAAATCCCTATTAATAAAGGTATTTTAACATTTCTTATTTGTTTATCAATAAATCGAGGCAAATTATTGTAGGTATAAGCAGAATCATGCCACGAAAATGCTCATGTCCAAATAAAATTTATAGTATGGCGAGATTATAATCAGACTGTTGACCTTTGGTTGCAATTAAAACCAACAATGCAATGGTGGAATGTAGAGTTATATGTTTCTTTACAATTATATAATTAATATAACAATTTCATAGCGGGAATGCTTTTATTAAATACGCAATGTCAGAGGTCAAAAACCTCAATTTATGAACCTCTTTTGTATGTGATTTTGCTGCGAAAAACGCTATACAAGCTTTCACTAACTGAGTACGAAATTCATACGATATTTCTTATACAGTAATCAGTTTTCGAACTTGTACGACAAAACCAGCAGGAGAGTCGAGAGTATGTAGATTTTTTAATATCAAGTAACCTATTTTAAAGGTTATACAAATCTCTATATTAAAGGTCCCTGTTTAAATATAATATTTTCATTGTATATAAGCTTTAAAATATTAAGGCTTCGCGAGCGTAAATAAAACAGAAAACAATGTAACGTGGCTTAGTCAATTTACTTTGAAAATAAATGGTCTGGTATTAGGTAATAATTAATGTGATGGCTCTTCCTCACGAAAGTCTATTTTAAGTTAGTTTTGGTTCGAAGGTTATATAGGACGAAAGACGTCATGTCGATTTTGAATAGTTATTTAATAAATATTTATGGTATGTTCTCGAAATACCCTAATCTATACATATAATAAAATTGTAACTGAGTCGAATTTGTAAATATTTTTTGGAAAATCTTATTGAAATAGACATTATCGATACAGAAGCCGAATCTATAGTTTTTAAAAATTTTGTCTGTCTGTCTGTAGATCTGTCTGTCTGTCCGTGACCGCATCACTAGAAAACTACCGGACACATTTTGATGAAATTTGTTATGGTGATAGCTGGTTATCCGGGTCAACATATAGGATACTTTTTACTGTGAAATTGTATAAACAGACAAACAGAAAGAGAAACAAAAAATAAAAAAAAAAAATCTGGATGGTTTATTTCTCTTCTTACATCCCCCTGACTCGGGACACTGTAGAGGTCGAATGTCTGTACATTTTTTCTATGTACAGACATTCGACCTCTACAGTTTTATTATAATAATGTATAGATATGTATGTATTTAAAGTTATATGTGTAGTATATCAACTATCTGGTATCCATAACACAAGCCTCGTAGCTTACCAAGGAACTAGATGGCGTTGTGTTAATGTCCTAACATATTTATTTATTTCGTTACAGGACATCAAACGTAAGCGGTTCAATACTCATAAATGGTAAAGAAAGAAACCTGAGGCGATTTCGCAAGTTGTCCTGCTACATTATGCAGGACGACTGTCTCCTACCACATCTTACTGTACGAGAAGCTATGCATGTATCTGCCAATCTCAAACTTGGAAAAGACATGACTGTTACCGCAAAGAAAATTGTTATCGATGAAATATTAGAAATGTTAGGCCTAGTAGAAGCCGGTGATACACGAACGATAAATTTATCTGGAGGGCAGAAGAAACGCTTGTCCATAGCTTTAGAATTAGTGAACAACCCTCCTGTGATGTTTTTCGACGAGCCCACATCTGGTTTGGATAGTTCATCGTGTTTCCAATGTATATCGCTGCTGAAATCTTTGGCTAGAGGCGGTAGAACGATTATATGTACCATACATCAGCCGTCCGCGAGGCTGTTTGAGATGTTCGACTTTTTATACACGTTGGCTGAAGGGCAGTGTATATATCAGGGGCCTGTCAGTGGTTTAGTGCCGTTCTTATCATATATGCAGCTTCATTGTCCCAGTTATCACAATCCAGCTGACTATGGTACGTTTTTTTTAAATTTCTACTATTAATGCATAACTTTGTATATGTGTGTTTGTGTGTGTGTGTGTCGGTGTGTTTTTGTGTATGTTTGTTACACCTTGACGCTATAACGGCTGGACTGGATGGTTTAGACGAAATTTAGTACACTGATGGGTTATCTGGAGTGATACCTTTTTTTTATCGTTGTGAAATGCATTTACGCACGAGGTGTGGGACTCACCAACGCAATAAAGCCAGTACTACCCACTAAAACACAACAAAACCTTCCCCCGTCTTAATGGGGCGTCGCAGGATCGCTTACGCATTCAACTACGACGCCCCGACGGCAGGTCTGCCGAAGCAGACCACCACAACCATGGGGTTGCTCCAAGGTCCACTCTGCTATCAGAGAAGTACCAGGAGCAACCCGCATGGTACACTGCCCACCGAAGTGGGCCACCTCCCATCGCCCACCGAAGTGGGCCACCTCCCTGTGCATTTATTGGCTTCGCGCCCGGTTGGATTGCCGGGCACTACTGAGCCCCCCCACCACGACAAGGTGAACGCACGTTGGGGGGGATCTGGAGTGATATCTAGGCTTACCTACTATTGCACCTATTGTAAAATACTTAGGAATAAACATAAACGAAACCAGGGTAAATTGCTAGGTAAAAGTTATCGAAGTAGCAAGGGCCATTCTTGGCACCATACCCATCTATTAAATAATAATAAATAGGTACAAGTTATAATCTGTTAAAATTTTTAATATCTACAGTAAAATCCATATTAATATTTTTTTATTTAAGAAATATAATATATATATATATATATATATATATATAGTCATTTTATATTGGTGTAATAAAATATCTTTTAATTCTTGTATAAAAAACATTTTAAGCACGTGTAAAACCCAAGTTGGATGCGTGTTAGTAATGTATCTCACTGACATTTGATCTCTTGAGGGAACAAAGGGTTTCTTTAACAGAAACCCGGGAGATTATTCGCTATTCGATCCTAAAGCGGATTAAATACCATAACTTAATCATTATTGTACTGTATTTTTTACATTTTATTCCTATTTTAAGTAGATGTTTATGATTTTATTAACTATTATTATATTGTATTATTTCATATTAGCGCCTCCCCCTCGCAACGGTTGGGTTCGCCCCTAGGAAAACAATAAAAACCTATCCAAGGGAACCGTGCATTTTATCAAACTTTTTTCCCCTTATTCACCCCTTTAAAGGATGGTTTCTGGGATAAAAACTATCCTATGTCCATTCCAGGATCTCAAACTATTTTCTTACATCTAAATCAGTTCTTTTTGTCATTTGTGTACAGTGATGGAGGTGGCGACCGGAGAGCATGGCGAATGGGTCCACAAGTTAGTTATTGCGGTAAACAAAGGCAATTGTGGCCGTGGACAGTCATCAACGTCTTCATCTTCATCCTCCGTTCCTCAGAACTGCAATTATAATAACCAGAGCAAGAATAATGTTAAGAAAGAAGCGCTTGAGATTGTTATAGGTACGTTTTAAGCTTATAGTTTAGTTTTTATTATTCTACTACTCTAAAAGGAGGATGATGTTTTTCGAGTCTATCTATGTAATACATTATGTACTAAATATATTCTTATATTCTTGAAATAGCTCGTAACCTAGACGGCTTTATGAGTTGTCATACATTATGGGATAATTATGGTATTGACAAAGTTTAGCATTAGTACTTAGCTCTAACTATGTATTAAAAAAAAAAAATTGAATATCTAAAAATGAAAATATCTATATTCTATATGAAAATGAAATAAATAAATAAATTATTTTCTGAAATTATGCTAATGATTTTTCCAGATAAACCAACCTGCACTGTGATAGACATGTCTGAACCAACAGTTAACAGCGAAAAACAGAGTGCCCTACCGAACTCAACGAATCTAGCTCCCGTAACTTGCACCACGTCTCTCTTAGATTCGAGCGAGAGTTTCACCAAAAAACCTCAAAATGCCGGTTTCCCAACATCAGGATGGAAACAGTTTTGGATCTTATTGAAAAGGACCTTCAGGAGTATCCTTCGCGATCCAATGTTGACTCATTTGAGACTGTGTTCACATACGGTTGTTGGGCTGTTAATTGGATTTTTGTATTATGACATCGGGCATGATGCGGCGAAAGTTATGAGCAATGCTGGCTGTTTATTCTTCACTGTGATGTTCACTATGTTCACGGCTATGATGCCTACAATTCTTACATGTAAGTATCTTTGTTAACAAAAGAAAAAATACATAGTTTTGCCCTAAATATTGTTACAAAGAAAAAAAAACATGTTTCTATTGCGCGTAACATTTATTACTATTACAGTGTGTTAGTTTAATACATTAATATAAAACCATTAAAAAAATATAAAGCTTATTCGAAGTGGTCTCCATTGGCTGTAATACAGTCCTTTTAACGTTAAGGCAGTTATCAATAGAAGCACGCACTCTTTCCGAATTGGGAAAATTCTTCACTGCCAATCGTATGGATTGTTTTGGGGACTCCAAATTATCATGGCATTTAGAGCAAGCCATACTCTCTAAAACTGATCGTAAATCATAATCCAGCGGATTAATATCGGGACTAGATGACGGCCAGTCTTTACCTCTGATAAAGTCCGGAACGTGGGTTTTTAACCAAGATTGCGTAGATCGAACATTATGACCCGGCGCCGAGTCTTGCTGAAAGGACCATTCTTGGTTATTGAACATGGTGTTGTTAAGGGGCTTAACTACCTTCTTCTTGATACACTTGTGCCGATGTTTTGATACCTTTTTCACAAAAATATGGCTCAGTCACTCCTTCATAGCTAACACCCCACCGAACCATCACTGAAGTTGGATAATGCCCACGTTGTACTCTGTTGACTAATTGGGAAGCTTCCTTAGGTGTTTGAGCATAATAAATACGGTCATTTTGTTTGTTAAAATATTGCTCAATAGTAAAAAATTTTTCATCCGTAAACAAAATTTTTCTGTGACCTCCCTTTGCGTATCGCTTATGTAGTTGTTTTGATTTTACCACCCCATTCTTTTTTTAAATTATCAGTTAAGAAATGACCAGTGCGTCTCTTATAGGCTGCAAGTCCTAAGTCATCTTTTAAAATACACGACATGGTTCTAGGTGCTATCTTCATCTCCCAAGATAAAATCTTTTGCCTTCGGGCAGGATTTCTTCCAATTCTTTCCCTTACTGCTTTGATTGCCTTTTTCGTACGAAAACTACGTGAATGGCCAGATCTTTTTCTGTCAAAAACAGAGGAGGTTTCATTGTACCTATCAATAGCCCGGTACATAAACATTTGACTAATACAAAGCGTATGGAGAATTTTAAAATTGTATTTGGCTCCATACCTACTTTGTGTAATGCAATCACAGCGATTCGGTTCTCTTTATCACCCCACTCCATTTTAATGTCACAAAATATTTTACAATGTATTAGCACGAAAATGAGAAAACACAATGAACAATTATTTAAAAATTACAGATTCCAAATTCAAATGTAATATTTTGTTTACTTTTAAATTGTAACAGTATTTATGGCCATGGTAATTGAAAAAGTATGACAAAATAATGCACCTAATTAACCGTACAATTGTATCTTTTTATGTAATTTCTTTTAGATAAGTTTAGGGTTAATTTTAGGGTTCATGTAAAGTTTTATAAAACCTCGTGTTTATTTTATTTATAGAATAATTAACGTAACAATTTTAGAATTAATAAAATTGATATTTTAAATACATTTGCTATACTTATCATTATATTAAAATAAAATATAAGTTACTATAATGTCAAGGTTTAATTTCATTTTCATTTACTTTATTTTCTTTACAGTCCCAACTGAGATGAGTGTGTTTGTGAGAGAGCATTTAAATTATTGGTATTCTTTGAAAGCTTTCTACTTTGCGAAAACTATGGCTGACCTACCGTTTCAGGTAAATATTGTTCGTTATTGGTGTAAATAAAAATCACCCCTGAGGATGAAACGTATGGTAATTTAGTGCAAGGAACTTTATTTAGCATTAAAAAAACAACGTAAATTATAGGCATTGATATATAAACACGTAGATACACATTTCTTAACAAATATCTCTTCAAAAAGTGGCGTCGACATGTGATATTAAGTAAACCAAAGATTAAAATTCAAAAATCAAAAGTTCAAAATTGTTTAAACAGAAATTCGAACTTACGCACACCACATAAAGTACGTTTTTAAACGAAACAACCGTTATCCGAAAAGCAATGAACAAAAGAGATTGGAAAAAGCGCATAATTTCGATTTGAGTGCTTCGTTTTGAGGACACTTTTGAGACGCTAATTGTGTGTCCTCATTTTATATATCAATGATTATAGGTTTGGAGTGTACACTTAGACTTTACTTCATTATTTCACTATTCAATATCTCACACTAATTGTTTTCATTACAGATTGTCTTCAGTGGCGTATACGTGATAATAGTTTATTTTATGACGGGACAACCGATGCAAACAGACAGAGTGTTAATGTTTACTACTATAAATATACTCACGGCCCTCGTATCACAATCACTGGGTTTGCTCATTGGAGCCGCTATGAAGGTAGAAACTGGAGTCTACTTAGGGCCAGTAACGACCATACCTGTTGTCCTATTCTCTGGTTTCTTTGTTAATTTCAACGCTGTACCAAGTTATCTTCAGTGGTTGACGTACCTTAGCTACGTGAGGTACGGCTTCGAGGGTGCAATGCTTTCTGTCTACGGGTATGGCAGGGAAAAGCTTCATTGCTCCGAAGCTTACTGCCATTTTAGAACACCTAGTCTATTCCTCAAAGAAATGTCGATGGATCATGCCAACTTTTGGGTGGACGTGGGTGCATTGAGCGCTTTCTTTGTATTTATTAGAGTAATCTCCTATTTAGTTTTAAGGTTTAAATTGAAGATGATGCAGTAGACGGCACAAATTGCTTCGTAATTTATCGGTGATATTTTTTTCCATTTACCCATGGTTAGACACTGCCCGACGTTGCTTAGCGTGTACTGACTGGTTCATTATCCCGAGATAGGCAGCGGTCAGTTTTCTTACCAGTTACGATAAACCGCCGGCGCAAATAGGTGTTAAAGTAGGTTATATAGTTTTCGAAATATATAGCTTTATAGGTCGCAGTTCGACTCAGTCGATTTAGAGTTTATACGTAAATTAGGTTAAGGTTTTTCTAGATCGGGCCCATGACTTAATTTTAAGTTACTTAATGATATTATGTTAATTTGTATTTGACATCACAATGTAGGCTTTTCTACTCTCTTCGTACGCTTGGTTAGTGAGTGATGTGTCACTTGTGTTCTCTGTCAAAATTACTTTATGTGATATTGTGTATATTCCTTTAGAATGTCTTGATATTGTTAAACGAGTTTATCGATGTGGATTTAGTTATACATATCAAATATTTATTTTTGAGAAAGCACTTTCAGGTGTCTTTCTCATCTATCATGCCCTAACAATTATTGTATAAATTAAGTCCAAGTGCAATATATATGAAACTAGAAATACTTGATATTATTATACTTTAATTTTTTTTTTGAAATGATAGATTACTATTTTTACTTAAACGTTATAGTAAGTAAAGCAATAAAGTCGTTAGTGACTTAGAAAGGCTTTTATAGAACGATCCAATGAAATTAAAAAGTAAGGAAAAGGTAGCTAAGTCGTAATGAATTGATGATCTCAATAAGATATTTGGTTCATTTCACACCGCTTTGTGCAGATTTTCTGCAAATAGCCTAATTTATGGGATTAAAAATATTAAAGATATTGATAGATGACGCTGATTATTTAAAAGTTTGCTTAAATATTGTTCAGCCAGGGAATGAATTTGTGTCGAAACCCGCCACTGTATTAAAATTACCAGATATTATGGGTGTAGGTAAAAAGTTAGGTTTGTGTTGTTTGAGAATGAGTGTTATTGAATTTTAGTTAAACGTGTATATGATATCGTGGATTTGTATGTATTATATTATGACTTAATAATAAATTTAGTTCCTTATTTACATGAAAATTGAAATGAAATATATTAATTTTTATAATAATATCTATGTCATATAATAGGCAATTTTTCAAAGCCCATTTTGTTTTGTGACTAAAGCTTCTGTGACTAAAGCTTTTGTCACTGTTCTATTTATGTATAATAGAAAATCATGATACTCATTACCTTTTTGTGATCCGTAGAGTCAAAATTAGGTTACACTTAGGAAACGTATATAGGATATCCTAATTTTAAAAGATACTAGTGTCTACATTGACCTCAGTGGCGAATACTTATAAACCTTCGGTCAGCTTATTTGAGACAACACAAGTATCTTTTTAAAAACAATTTTCATGTTTAAACCATTTCCATGTATATATTAGTATAATAAATGATTATTTAGTGGATATTTTTTCATTTATAGGTCACAACATAAAATATTCCAAACGATATGATTAAAAAATAATAATTTTGACAGAAAGCAAAGTGTTGGCGGGCGTACATATCTACCCAATTTACATTCTAGTTTTTAATTAGGACTTTATAGTACCTTTCATTACGCTAAAAAATTTTGGTAATTCTCTATGTCTAACTTAATTACCAGTATTTATTAATAATAATAAACGACTGTGATTTTAATATACAGAGAGTTTTATTTGTATTTTTAAATGAAAATTCAGGAATAATTACTATGTAAATAATAAAATACTTTATCCCCTTTTTAACGTTCCCTTGTTGGACGCAGGCCCCCTTAATGCAAGAGGGTTTGCGCCATAGACTATGTTTAAATAATAATAATCTTCTTCTTCTTCTCCCTGCCCATTTCCCAATCAATGTTTAAATAATAATAATTAATAAATATGCTGGGACATTAACACACAGCACCATCTAGTTCCATGGTAAGCTCTCGTAGCTTAGCCTTCTCTTAGCTTAGCTTGTCTTATGGATACCAGGTAGTTGATGCATTACACATATTATATAACTTTGAAATACATACATATTATAAATATAAATACATATGACTGAAGTGCAAGCATTCGTGTTCATCACACATATGGATGCCCCCAGCGGGACTCGCACCCGATCCTGCTGGCACAGCAAGTAGGATGAGTCACTACAAACTGAGTCAAACGTGTCGATAAGCATGTCGACGTGATAGCCGAATATATCGTCGGATTTTACATATTTCACACAGATTTCTACTTAAAAATATCAGAAGTGCAAGACAGGAGATTTGAACCCGCTTTACATGAGTTAAGCAAATGCTTTGACAACGGACTACATAAGCAATTATCTAGTTTGTTATTAGCTTTAGCTATATGAAACAAATTATAACTAAAATAATTTGATAAATGAGATAGTATGTTCTTGGTTTGTCCTTTTTTCACCTATTAACACGATTATTTTATAGATATAATTGGCATGCTGGATGGAGAGTGATAAAGACATATTTTTAATATTACCTCCAGGTACTTAAGTTGTTTTTAGATTATAGCTCGCAATAATAAACATAAAACATTTAGGTATATTAAAATATGTAAGTATTAAATTACATCTAAAATACGGCGGCTTTCATTGTAATACCTATCCTATTTGGTCATTGATTTGAATTTGGAATCTGGCATTTTTTATATGATTGTTCATTGTGTTTTCTCATTTTCGCGCCAATACATTGTAAAATATTTTGTGATTTTAAAATGGAGTAGGGTGATAAAGAGAACCTAATCGCTGTGATTGCATTATACAAATAAGGTATAGAGCCAAATACAATTTTTAAAATTTACCATACGCTTGGTATTAGTCAAATGTTAGTTTACCGGGCTATTGATAGGTACAATGAAACCTCCTCTGTTTGTGACAGAAATAGATCTGGCCGTCCACGTAGTGCTCGTACGAAAAAGGAAATCAAAGCAGTAAGGGAAAAAATTCGAAGAAATCCTGTCCGAAAGCAAAAGATTTTATCTCGGGAGTTGAAGATATCACCTAGAACCATGTCGCGTATTTTAAAAGATGACTTAGGACTAGCAGCCTATAAGAGACGCACTAGTCATTTCTTAGCTGATAATTTAAAAAAGAATAGGATGATAAAATCAAAAGAACTAGGTACTTAAGCGGTACGCAAAGGGAGGTCACAGAAAAATTTTGTTTACGGATGAGAAATTGTTACAATTGAGCAATATTTTAACAAACAAAATGACCATATTTATGGTCAAAGCTCTAAGGATGCTACCCAATTAGTCAACAGAGTACAATGTGGGCATTATCCGACTTCAGTGATGGTTTGGTGGGGTGTTAGCTATGAAGGAGTGACTGAGCCATATTTTTGTGAAAAAGGTATCAAAACATCGGCACAAGTGTATCAAGAAGAAGGTAGTTAAGCCCCTTAACAACATCATGTTCAATAACCAAGAATAGTTCTTTCAGCACAACTCGGTGCCTGGTCATAATGCTCGATCCACGCAATCTTGGTTAGAAACCCACGTTCCGGACTTCATCAGAGCTGAATACTGACCGTAATCTAGTCCCGTTGTTAATCCCCTGGATTATGATTTATGGTCAGTTTTGGAGAGAATGACTTGCTCTAAATGCCATGATAATTTGGAGTCCCTAAAACGATCCATACGATTGGCAGTGAAGAATTTTCCCAATTCGGAAAAAGTGCGTGCTTCTATTGATAACTGGCCTCAACGTTTAAAGGACTGTATCGCAGCCAATGGAGACCACTTCGAATAAGCTCAATATATTTTTGATGGTTTTATATAAGTGTATTAAACTAACACACTGTAATAGTAATAAATGTTACGTGCAATAGAAAAAATGTTTTTTTCTTTGTAAGAATATTTATGTCAAGACTATGTATAGGTATATATGTAGTAAGTACCTCGGTGGTGTAGTGGCTAGTATGTGAGGCTGCAGATTAGGAGATACAGGGTTTGAATCCCACGATCATAATCTATAGCTACACAGAGGCAAAATCTATATAGCTTTTATAATTTCTGTGTGTCTGTCCCAGATCACGATAAAACTACTGGCCAGATTTTGATGAAATTTGGTATGATGATAGCTGGTTATCCGGGTCTACATAAAAGATAGGTACTTTACTGCGGGAAAGTATTCTTATCTCTGAGAAATCTATACTAAAAGTTAAAACGTAACGCTAGTATATAATATTATAATAATTTTGCAGGCAAAAGGCAGTTGTTTAGAGATCACAGTAAACATTAAATTGTATGATCTTAGCTTCCTATTACCCTAGTACAAAAGATTCAAATATCAAAATATTTTTTCATTAAAATATTAAGCTACAACAAAAATTTCTTCAAACTTACACGGCCATTAATTTTATACAATTTCATTTATTCTATAGAAAGTAATTTAATTAAAGAGTCAAATTAAATATAAAAAATAACACCATCTTTGAATGAATTGCAAAGCTACATTGTGCCCATTTGTTTTCACGACGTAGTTTTACAAGAAGGCCATCTGTTATCAAACACAAGAAATCATAAACGCTTAATAAGGTAAAGCAATACTAGATGTCGCTACGTTGATGAATTTAAAACAACCTAATATTTTTGACAAGCTATTGCTTACAGGTTTTACTATTATCAGCCATCAAATAATTTTTAACCCTAATGTTATGTAACCTTATATTTAAGGTGTACCTATGGGGGTTCTACCCTCCATCTATGTACCCCATATTATGTAATTAATGGAATATCTAATATTATATTATATAATTTAATACGTATTTAGAAAGACTTATTTATTTTGAATAATTTAAAAATATTTTTTCTTTTTATTATTAAAATAATAATTTTAAAATGCCCATATTCATTTCAAAGTCTTATCTAAACCTATTTTATTTTATCCTGCAGTTACTAACCATTTAAAGAGGCATTATATTTTGTGCAAAAAATATCACAGG